TGGCCAGTGACCTAAGCAAAATGCTTTAAGAACCCCTTTTCCCCTGCTGTCTAGCATTAACTCCCAGCCAAAGGGCAGACCTGACCAACTGGCCAATGGGCTGAGGGAAGTGTGTACTCACCCTCTTGGTTTCTACAGGTCATGGACCCAGGAGAAAGAATCTGAAAATGAAGAAGCTTTTCCCATCAGGAGGCTTCATGTGGTGACAGAAGGGCCAGGGTCATTGGTGGAGTTCAGGAGAGATGCCAAAGAAGTAAGCCCCAGCCTTCTTTGGTTGGTTTTGGCTTTATAGAACAGTACCACAGGGCTCAAGGGCAGGCCCAGCTACTGAGGGGTATGACAAAATGAAAGAACAGGGCCTATGTAGGTTCCTAGTACATGAACTGGTTTCTGAACCTCGAAAGAGGCACAGGTACATGCTGGTCCCTTGCAGCCTGTGATGCTGATAATATCTCCTGTTGGAGTGTGAGAGGCCCCTGGGCTGGGACCACCCCCACTCAGACCAAGCAAAGCTCAAATGTGTAGCCCATGTCAGAGGTGGGATTGTTCTGGATGAGCAAGTGAAGTGTTGGGAGGCCCAACTTATTAGATCTTGGGCAAGGCCTCCACATCAATGCACAACATGCCCAGAGCTACGTGCCCCTCCCTCTCCAGACCACAGCCTACATGCCTGTGGACTTCCAAGACTGCAACGACAGGACTCCATGGAACAAGGCCAAGGGGCACCTGGCAAGGTCCAGCCAGATGGAGGAGGCTGAGCAGTACACCCCATCCATCCAGGTGTCCCTGTGCCGAAATACCAAGAGGGCGGGTAATCCCAGCACGTACTCACACTGCCCTGGCTTGTGTACCAACCCCAGACACTGGAGGGGCCACCCTGAGAGTCCCCCCAAGAAGAAGTGCACCACAGTCAACCTCACACAGAAATCTGAAACCAAAGAGCCTCCTGTCACCCCCATGCAGAAACTCATCTCCCTCGTGAGGGAGTGGGACATGGCCAATTGCAAACAGTGGGGATTCCAGTCACCAACAGCCCCCCGGGGCAACCCCTTGGAGGAGGCCACCCAGCAGCTCCCCCTGGGAAGTGAGGCTGCTTCCCAGCCCAGCACCTCAGCTGCCTGGAAAGCCCATTCCACAGCCTCAGAGAAGGATCCAGGCCCGCAGGTAGGGGCTGGGGCTGGAGCAAAAGACAAGGGGCCAGAGCCAAACTTTAAGCCCTACTTCCCCATGAAAAGAGCCATCACCCTGAAGGACTGGGGCAAGCAGAGGCCAAAGGAGAGAGGTGAGTCCTATCCCATCCCTAGGTCTCATTTACAACAGAAAAGGCAAACTCCTTGGCCAAGGCCTTGGAGAGAGTTTGTGACAAAGGGGGACTAGAGGCCCCCACCAACTGATGCCAGCTCTGTGCCAGGCCACAGATACAGAAGTGACTGGCACACTGGTGTGGTTTGGGGAACCAAACGATCACACAGGTGAAGTGATGAGCGCTGTGCAAAGGGGGAACCTGTGAAGTAGGAACACAAAGAAGGCTGGGGAGTTAGCAGGGGAACAAAAGCAAAGCCTAGGGAGTTAGTGGAAGCACAGGGCATCAGTCTAGCTGGAGGCCAGGCTTCACATGCAGGCGTGAAGGGAGATGAGGCAGAAGACATGTCATCAGGACAGGCCTTGTGACCCAGCATCACGATGTGCTACTCTGTTCTGACCCTGACAGGAGTGGGAAGCCCCGGAGGGATTTTCAACAAGGGAGCACTGGCCAGGTGTGCATTTCAGAAAGCCTGCTCCAGGCTCAGAGGAAATGCAGCAGCAGGAGGGGGAGTGTTGAGTGTTGGAGCCTCCAAGTTCATGCTAGGCCAGGGAGATGGGCTAGACAACTGGGAAGGCAGGGGGATAGGCCAAGGAGGGGCCAGGTTTCCAGCTTGGGTGGCTGCAATGGGGGTAGGTCTTTAGTGAGGTGAGTGGACAAAAGTAGAACTTGGGCAAGAGTACATATTATGTATGAGACGCTGAGGGATATCCAAATGGAAAAGTCCAGGAGACAGGAGGGTCTACGAAGACTGGGCTGATGAGAGAGTGCATGTGTGGCCAGGCAGAGGGGAGGTGGCCCCGTGAAGTGTGCTGAGAACTGCTATGCCAGGCTGCTCCCCCCAAGTCCTTCCTATTCTGTACTCTGTCACCTTCCCTTTTAGTGGCTCAAGGCCCTGCTTGGAAGGGCCTTCTTGCACTGGGCCTGTAAGCCCTAAGTTGGTCTGTCAAGCTTTGGAGGAACAAATGTCCACTCTTCCAGAATGGGCATGCATCAAAAGCTGGCCCCAAAAGCTCCTCACATTTTACAATTTTATAAAGCTTTCCGGTCCCCAACTGGGTTATTATTGGCCCTATTTGATACCAGTCTTAGTTCAACAAAGGAATCTGGAGAGTTCTTTGGAGTTTCAAAATCCAGGACTTGGCTTGCAATGATGCCAGAGCAATGAAAAGAGAATAGGCCAGGACAGGCCCCTGCTGGTCCAGCGTGTCACTTCCAAGAACCTAGAGGCAGCAGCTGCTGGAAGGCTGGGGTAACAAGACTGTACTGGTCTATCACCAGAGCCCGCCCCCTCTGCTTGGGCTCTGAGGTGGCTTAAGGAGAGCCCCCTCCCCATGTTGTTTTCACAGAAAGCCCTGCCCCTGAGCAGCCTTTGCCTGAGGCCAGTGAGGTGGACAGCCCAGGGGTCATCCTCAAAGTGACTCACCCACCGGTGGTGGGCAGCGATGGCTCCTGCATGTTCTTTGAGGACAGCATCATCTACACCACACATATGGAGCACCTCGGGCTTACACCACCCAAAACCAGCCCCCAGGCTCGAGGTGAGACTCTGGAGCCATATAAACCTTGTGGAGATGCCTGAGCCCCCACCCAGGGTACTTCAGGCAGTGTCCCTTGGGAGCCCTACACCTCCACCCTTCCTCCAGGCTGTCTCTAAGGCCCTAGCTTTGGGCAGATGTGGCCATATCCACTTTCTCTCCCCGACAGAGGTGATTTTCCTGAGTTTCTCTCTGTCCTGGGAAGAGATGTTTTATGCACAGAAATGTCACCGCTTCCTGACTGACATCATCCTGGATTCCATCAGGCAAAAGGACCCCAAAGCTATCACAGCCAAGGTGGTCTCCCTGGCCAACCGGCTGTGGGTACGTATGATAGGCCCCAGGTCCTGGGCACCCTGTACCTTCTCCACCTGTCCCTTGCCCCTGCAGTAAGTGGTGCAAGACAAGAAAAAGGAAGCAAGCCAAGAGAGGGGTAGGGGGTGTGAGGGTAAGAGGTCAGGGGCAGAAGCGTGGCAGGAAGGGCAGGTACAGGAAGGCAGGGAAGTTTTACCTGGATCAAGCTTTGGCCAAGGGGAAGATTTGGAGTGATAGTACCTGCCCCCAACTCCTGTGGCTCTGCAGGCCCAGGGAAGTCCCTGCTCTGCATCTCACTGAGGGCCTAGGAGCTGCCCTGCCCTGCCTGACCATGGGCTCTCCTGGCAGACCCTGCACATCAGCCCCAAGCAGTTTGTGGTGGATTTGCTGGCCATCAGCGGCTTCAAGGATGACCGGCACACCCAGGAGCGCCTGTACAGCTGGGTGGAGGTGAGAGTCACCTGTACCCCCTGGGAATGGAGACCCTGTGGATGCCTCAGACGGACACTGTGACTTGCTGCACCAGGGCCAGGCCAGTGCTACCTAAAAGGCTAGGCAGGCAGCTGAGCCACTGGTCCCTGGACCCAGGGAGGGAGAAATGATGGCTGAAATTAACCAATTCAGAGTAGTCAGAAAGCAGTACTCAATCCACTGGTTTTTATCATTCCAATGATCCCAACTGTGCCTTCATCACTAATAACCCTGGCCACACTTGGGGAAGCATATCATATGAGCGCGAGCTTTGCCTTATATGAGAGTTAGACCTTTTCAACCAGTGATACCAACTTCACCTATTTAGCCATGTTAGAATCATTTTTGTACATTTCTTTCATATTTAAACTGTCTTAAAGCATTCTTTAAAATGTTCAATAAGGGCAAGGGAATGATCATCTTTAAAATAATCTTAGCACTGTAGGGGGGAAAGATTTAGCTAATTTCTCATTAATCTGATATTTCCATAATGAAGTGTATTATTATAATACCATTCACTATAAGCACACTAGTACCCAATTACTATTAGGCCTCTGGCTTATCTGTCATTTGTAAAGTTGAAGTCAGCATCTATGGCTAGAAAGTAGAAAACCAAGGCCAGGTGTGGTGGCTCATGCCTATAATCCTAACCTTGGGAGACCAAGGTGGGAGGATTGCTTGAGGTCAGGAGTTTGAGGCCAGCCTGAGCAAGAGGGAGACCCCATCCTACAAAAAATAGAAAAAAATTAGCTGGGCATGGTGGCATGTGCCTATAGTCCCAGCTACTCGGGAGGTTGAGGCAGGAGGATTGCTGGAGCCTGGGAGTTTGAGGTTGCTGTGAGCTATGATGATGCCACTACACTCTAGCCTGGGCAACAGAGTAAGACCCTATCTCAACAACAACAACAACAAAACAGAAAAGACAAGAAAGTAGAAAACCAGTATCAGGAAACATATATTTTTGATGCTCTAGTCATTCTACTCAGTTTCCTGTAGCCACTCCTAGCCACAGGCTGTGAGATGCCCTTTGGGCTGAACTGAGCCCTAGATCATCAAAGGTCCCTAATAATAGGGCTTGCCCTGTCCCTGCCCCTGCTCAGATGGGAGACCCCCATTCTGACCCGCATGGAGCCGGAGTAGGCAACTGGCCAGGAAATCAAGAGTAAGACCAGCATTTCCTTCCAGCTCACACTGCCTTTCGCCAGGAAATACGGCCGCTGCATGGACCTGCTCATCCAGAGGGGCCTATCTAGGTCTGTCTCTTACTCTATCCTGAGCAAGTACTTACAAGAAGGCTAGGGTGCCCAGAGACACGGCCCGGCATGCCCCCACCCACCAAGGCTCATTTTAACTGGGGATATACCCAGAATGTGTGTGCCCACCTAAGGATACATATAAGTCTGTTTTTTTATTATAAACAAATAAAATAATAAATCACAAGTCAAAAGCCTCGACTCCTTCTCTGAGACACCAAAGGCCTAACAACCAGTGAGATAATTTTAGACAACTCTCTTGAAAGATATTCAAAAGGCATCAAGTCATAATAACCAAATTGCTCCGGGAAAAAAAGAGGCTGGGCCTTGGGTGGCCACGATAGGTAAGGGTAAGGGCACAAAAGGAGTGGGCCAGCTCCTATGGTTGAGGACCTCAGCTTCAAGTCCAGGGACTGAGGAGCAGCTGCTGGGAGCCCACCTGTGTTCCTCCTGAGGGGTGGGGGCAGCCTAGTCACTACCCAGAACCATACGGTGCCCCACCAGCCTAGAGCATGGAAATGCCCACTCTCTACCTAGTCTATTCTTAACCCACAACTGGGGTGGGAGCTGGAGAGGAAACAGAAGGGGACATGGGGCCAGGAACCTGGGATCAGGGTGCTCACTCAGGCTCTGCAGCAAACTCCCCCAGGGTGGCCCCATTCCAGTTTGTCCAATGGCTACAGATATCAGAAAGGGTAGTCAACAGGGCTGTCCATGTGCGCTGGAGATGGCCCAGGTGCCAGCCATGCCCTGGTCACAGCAGATCCAGAGAGGTGTTATTCCTTGGAGCTACAGGCTGCTGGATCCACTGCTTGTCTTCGAGCCTGGGCTCAGACCTGTGGTGCCAGGCTAGGCATGAATGTCTGTTTCCCTAGCTCTGGGTCTAGGGAGGTCTCTGGGGAATAGCTCTGGCCCACCCACCCCCAGCTCTGACTAAAGGAAAGGCAGGCTGGGGAGGGGCTGGTGGGTATAGGGCAAGATGGCACTCACATAGGACAAGTCCTCGAGGCCCCTGCCCAGGGCCTGTCCTGACACACAGCTACTGTCAGAGCCACTGGAGCCACTGGCTGATGGGCACTGGGATGAGACCTCTGAGTCCTCAGGAGCTAAGGAGGAAGAATGGGTAAGCTGTCAGCAGGGGAGGCCCAGACCCCAAGCCATGCCCTCCTGCCTCTGGCTAAGCCCAGACATACTCAGAGAGGGATGGCTGCCCAGCTCCGCCTCAGCCTCCAGCGCTGCTTCCTCTGGGAAGTTGGGAGGATGTAGGGGCCAGCGGAGATCCAGAAGAGCTGGGTCTCTATACAGGTGCAGGTTGAGGGACCCCAGAACAGAGCAAGAGGCAGGGTCTCCAGGAAGGGAGCTCGAGGCCCCCAGGTAGGGGCTGTCATAGTCAAACGGGGCCACAGCAATGGAGGCCCGAGAGCGAACTTCTGCATAAGAGAGAGGGTCAGGTTGGGACAGGCCAGAGCCCGGCCTGGCCCAAGACCCCGAGGGGAGCACAGGCCAGGAATGACAGAGATCCACAGTGCCTCCCGTACAGCTGTCCTCACCCACACCCCCGTAGCCTGACTGCTACCTCGGCACTTTAGGACGTAGTTGATGGTGCGGTCGTTGATAGCTTCCTCACTGGGGGCAATGTCCTGGAAGGCCTTGTTCCCAACTCCCATGGACACCATCTCAGCCATACGCACCTCTGGATGGAGAATGGGCATGAGCAGGGCCCCAATGGACATTAGCTTTGTCCTTGGTCCTCTATATAACCCCCCAATAATAAGTCTTTCCTGTATACCCACATCCAGCAGATTAACCGTCCTATGCACTGAGCGCTTCTGATGCCAGGCTCTCTCCTCCCAATAATCCTATGGAGCAGCTGTCCTAATTCCCCTTTTAGAGATGAGGCCCCTGATACTCAGAGAGGTTAATGTTGCAGCCAAAGTCAGAGACAGTGACAGCAGGACTGTCTGACTCTGAAGTTCCTTCCTCTGCACTGGCTGCTGCTGTGCCTCCTCACCTCTTGCCAAGCTTTTCCAGGTCCCTAGGCCCTCCCTGGGCTCCTGTGGGACAACATAAGCTCGCTGGGTAGGGGAGTGTGGGGTGAAGTAGGGGGCAGAGACCCACCCTTGTTGTGGACAGCCTGCCTCCAGAGCAGGCGGGAGATGTCAGCCGTCCAGGACTGCTTGGTGGCCAAGCTGGAGGCCTGCAGCACAAAGGTGTCCCTGGCCTTGCGACGGCGGAACCAGATCTCAAAGCGCAGATTGCTGTCCCCGCAGCACTCGGTGAGGCCAAGGTCTGCCATCTGTGTGGCCGGGGGAGAGAGGCTTGTTGAAGTGTGGGGGGTGGAAGGCAGGGGCAGGGGCCAGGGTCGGTGTGGGCCTACCTTGAAGGAGCGCTTGTAGGCAAATGTGTCAACACCTGCAGGCCCACGGCGAGGCTTGCTGAAGAGCAGCAGCTCCTCAAAGAGGAAAACACGGCGTAGGGACTTGTGGCGCCCAGTGCGCACCATGAACTCATCCTGTCGCACCAGCTGCCCCTGTTCCTTGAGGTTGACCTGCAAAGTTGGGGCCCGGTAGGTGCCCAGCCTTTTCTGCCCTCTTCTTCCACACCTACTGTCCCCACCCACTGCAGCCTGGGATGACTCACATCACAGCCCTGGATGGCGTCCATGGCTAACAGGTCATTGCCGTGTCGCAGCTGGAAGTGCACGAGGCTCTGGGCTGCCTGCAGAGCACTCAGCTCCTGCGTGGAACCCGCGCAGGCCCGTGCCAGCTCCTGCAGCAGCAGTGCATACTTGCTCATGCGCTGGATGGGCTTCAGCAGGTAGGAGGCCAAGTCCAGGTGGTCCCCCAGTGCTTGCTGCTTGTCCTGCCAGGTGGGTGGGAGACCACTGAGTGCTTTCAGGGTACTGCCCCCACGCCTCTACACCTCCTACCGTCTCAGGCTCACCTACCTTGAAGAAGGCATGACCATAGCTAGACATCAGGGCGTCAGAGCGAGGTTTATTCTTGCTGTAAAGCGCATACATCCCAAACTGCACCCTCTACAAGGACAAGTGGCTCAGCCCAGATGCAAGGGGGCCAGTTCCCAAAGGCTGGCCCCCCTGGGCCTGACCACTCTCAGCTTGAAAGGACCAAAATGCCAACAGATGGCTCCCCAGGGAGGCCTCGCCACCCAGATCCAGCCTGCCCTGCTTTGAAGGAGGCGTGATATGGCAAAAACAGGCCCTGTGCTGACAGGGTGTGCCCACAGGCCCTCTGGAGAATAAGTTCGCTACCCTCCCATTGAGCCTCTGCATTCAGCTCTGCTCCTCCCACAGCTCTGAGAACATCTCTCTGGTCTCACCTCACCTCAGACTGTCCTCCTCTTGCTCACTACACTCAGCCAAGTCCTTGCTCACTTCCTTAATCCCTGGGCCTCTTTCCTGCCACAAGGCTTTGCACTTGCTCTTTCCTCTGGGTGGAACACTGTTACTCCAACTCCTCCCCCCAGGCTCAGTGCAAATGTCAGCTCCTCAGGGGCCTTGTGTAACTGCTCCCTCAAAGGTGGGAACCCCTGCCTTGCCAGTAAGTCGCAAGCTTCTATCCTGCCTATTTTTCTCCTAGCTCCAACTGTAATCTAAAAGTATCTTTTTCACTTTTATGTCTCCTCCACTGAACTAAGAGCACCCTGAAATGCAGGGACCTTGTCAGTCTTGCTCATAGCTGTACCCAGCACAGGGCCTGGCACCAAGCATGTGCCCAGCGCTCCTTGGGGAGTGTGGCAGAATCAGCTGGAAGCCACGTGGCCTGTGGGGCTTACGTGGCGCAGGAAGGCGTAGGCCACTCGAGGTGGGTGCCGGGTGCAAGCCTCCAGCTCACGCAGGAAGAAATGGCAGTGGAAGTCACGCAGCTTCTCCAGATTGCCAAAGAGGTGGGCACGCCGGCCGCGGAGGCCCTGAGGCACATCAGGGCGATCCAGCTCGGGGAAGTAGTTCTCCATGGTGTAGTCAAGGGCCCGGACATACTCCCGCTCCGTAGCCACCATCTCTGCCAGCACCAGCTGTAGCCTACCAGGTAGCTGGAGTCAGGAGCCAAGACATCTACCCCCACTGCCCTCCCCTCCCTGCCCACTGCCTGCACCTGCTGGGACTCCTGGGGTCAGAGCTGCCTAGTGGAGGCACAGTAGGGGATAGCTGGGGCTGGGCACCTCCTCCAGCCTCTGGTCCGTGGCAGGCAGTGACAATGGCCGCATGGTGGCAGTGATGGGTAGGTTTGCTGAGACTCTTCCCCAGATTCCGATCAAAGCTGTAGGCCTTCCTCAGGGGAGGTGGGGCAGGTACACTGGGTACCCGGCTGACACACAGGCTAGCTGTGCTACCCACCGATGATGGCTTCAGGGCAGCCTCTAGCTTCTGGTCCAGGGCCAGCCAGGTGTCCTGGCACTGTGCCCAGGCCCAGCGGCACTCCTGGCGGATGCCCTCTGAGCCCAGCCCCGTGGCCAGAGCCCACATCTTTCGGAAGTGTGCAGGAGGCAGGTCAGGGTGCTTGGTCCAGTGCAGCTGCAGCCGCTGCAGCACAGCCCCTGGGCGCTCCTGCTCCAGCTCTGCCAGCAGCCGCTGCCCCTCCTCAGCCCACATTGAGGCCTGCAACACCAGGGCCAGACAGGCGTTAGAGGAGGACCCCGCCACGACCACCCAGCCTTCTGCTCCTCTACCCGCTCCCCATCCCACAGGATGCTGGCCCCAGGCCACATCCCCAGGAGCTGGATTTTCGGGTCAGACTAAAGAGAAGGAAAGAGAACATGTGGCACGACCAGGAAGAGCTCAGGCTGTGGTGGAGCTGAGGCAGCCACCCCTCTGGTCCCACGGACCACCTGGAGGCAGGGACAGGATCCTCACCCACCTGCTTGAAGAACTGAAACAGCTTCTCAGCATCTGCCAGCCGCTGGCGCCGCTGGGCCAAAGCCCTAGAGAATTCAGTCAGCTGGGCTCGCAGGGTCAGAAAGCGTGCTCCACAGGGGCCCAGGTCAGCTGCCTCCCAGCCAGCCAGTGGCTGCAGAAACTTCTCCCCTTGCCTGACCTGCTCCTGGGGAGACAGAGACTGAGCTCAGCCAGCCTCGGCCTGATGGTCCAGCCCAAACCCAGATCTTTCCCACTGACATGTCATCACCAGGTCTCTCCAGTGATGGAAGAGTTTCCCCATCCCCTCCAGGCCCTACCGGCATCCACTCTCCTCTCTCAGCCAAACGGCCTGGAGGAATTGTCCGTCCTCACCACTACCAGTCTTCACTCCGCACCAGCCCACTCCAGCGCCACCTCTGCCCCTGTCCCCAGCACTTCCCAGGCCTCACTGACTCCACTTCTCAACAGCACTCAGCCCGCTCTCTCCTGAGCATCCCTAACTCCTCCCTGTCGCTTTCCAGTAGGTCCCCACCCCCACGCCCACCCACTCCCCTTCCCTCACCTGGGCCATTAAACATGGGGGGCTCCTGAGACAGTGCGCTCTCTCCCAGGCAAGCTTATGAGAGCAACTTTCAAGTGTCATCCACACACCCACGCCCACAAAGTGACCCTCCCCAGCCAGATCTCTCCTCTGAGCTCCAGGCCCAACACCCAAGGGCCGTTCTCTCCTCCCTCACAGCCATCTCAGAAGCGCACCCAAGACTGGACACATGAAGCTCTTCCCCCCCGAATGTCCTCATCTCCTAGTCGCTCTCTCAGGGAACATTCATCCTTACAACCTCCCTCTCCCTCACCCTCCCACACAGATCCACCATCAGATCCATCAATCTCTCAAACTCGTCTCTGCTGCCACCATCCTGGTCAAAGAAAGCATCATTTCCCACCCAGACTAGTGCAATTACCTCTTCACTGGACTCTCCATGTCTGCCCTCCAAGTCACTGTCTACTCAGAAACTAATCTTTCTAGAACACAGATCTAGAAAGATTAGGAGAGTTTCCTGCTTAAACTTTACACTGCTACAGGGCCCAGCGATCTCGCCACTGACCAGTCTTCCAGCCTCAAGTCACTTCATCTCACCCTGCTCTCCCTTTTCCGCTCTGCATTTCAACCTCACCGGATCTTCTGGCTCCTCAGGCGCACCATGTTCCCTCCTGCCACAAGAACTCTGCACGTGCTGCTTCCCCAGCCTTGAGTGACCCCCATTCCCAACTTCTTCTGCCTAGTTGACCCCAACTTATCCTTCAGTTCAAATATCACCCCAAAAACCTTGCCCAACACCCTGCTGGATCAGGTCTTCATTACACCCTCTGGTAGAATCACTCGTGTTGCTTCTTTCCAGAGTTCTTGCCTCAGTTTGCAATCACATACATGACTGTGTTTGATTACAACTGATTTCCTCTGCCAGACTAATAGTTCCAGGAGAGCAAGGAATTGATTTGATTTCACTCACTCCTGCATTCCCAGTCCCTACGACCTGAGCAAGGGACCAAACTTACTTGGGCAACCTGGTCCAGCTCCCCAAAAGGGCCTTGGGCCTGGAGCAGCATGTCCAGCGAGGGCTCCCCTGGCTCCTCCAGTGCTGGCCAGCCCACCTGCTGCAGCCACACTTCAATCTGGAGGGGCACAAGCAAGGAAAGGTGAGGAGACTGCTGTGGGTGGCGGTCACGCTTGAGATCAGGGGCAGGGCTCACTCTGGGCAAGTAGTTCCCACCTGGTGCAGCCCGCTCTCCTGGGCTTCCATCATCTGGACCAACTCTAGAGCCTGTACTCGTCGGTTGCTCTGAAGGGTCAGTTGATGCAGCAGTCCGTCCACACGGCCATACAGCTCACTAGCCTTGTCCACGGCTGGCCTGGTACAGGGTACATGGTCTTAGAGCTCCTGCCAGTCCCCTTGCTCCATTCCACCCTATCCTGGTTCTGAGCCAGCCAGTTGAGTCCTTGGCGTGGGATCTGGTGGGTTGGGCCCGGGCAACATCTGGGAGCTGGGCTCACACCTACCTATAGTCTGGACTCAGGGTCACCTCCGGGGCCTCCTGCTTCAGCCGCGCCAGCTCCATGCCCCCCTGGCACTGTAGCCATGCCAGCCGTGGCGAGTCTAGCACCTGCTGCATCAGGACCCGTGCCTGCCGTAGCAGCTGACCAACTTCCTGTGATTGACAGTGACAGGCAGTGGAGGTGGCCGTGGGAGAGAAGGAGGGAGACAGGGAGTACTCAGGGAGGTGTTGGGAGGGGACACTCACCCCAGACTCCACAGGCTGGGGCACAGCCTTCATACTCTCGATGGCCCCCTGGAGCAGGGCACAAACCTCTTGGCAGCTCTGCAATAGGGCTTCCAGACGCTGTGAGCAGAGACAGGCATGACCAGAGCAGCATGCAGTGCTGGTCCCAGGGCTCCTGGACTCCAGGCCACTGCAGCCAGCTTTGCCCTGCTCAAGCCAGGGCTCAAGCCTCCTCTGTAGGCCCAGGTTGCCTGCATAACCCCCCCCACCCCCACCCGGTTGCACTAACCATCCGGAAATGCAGCCAGGCCTGGTGGCAGTAAGGCAGATATCCTCCCAGTGAAGTGGGCAACCCCGCGGTGGGGATGTGGGTCAGCAGGCTCTGATAAGAGGGCAGCTGCTCCAGCTGCAGGAGGAGACAGTGTTGTGACCCAGGCCTGGGTGGGGAAGCACCCCATTTCCAGCCCTAGCCAACTTGGCTCAGTACCTGTAGGCCAGAAGGCACCTCCTCTGGCATTTTTCCTACTAGCAGCACCTGGTGCACCGACCCTGGGGCTGCTTCCTGCAAGGAATCTGAGCTCAGCCCTGCCCCCAACTCTACACAAAAGGAATGAGGGGGAGGTACAGTCCTGTACTCACTTGTAGTCGGCTGAGCCCCAAGAAGAGGGACAAGCTTGGGGAACAAATTCGGGCATCAACTAGCACTGTCAGTCCCAGGGCCTGTACTTCGGGCCTAAAGGGGTAAGCTTCAGTTCAGTAACTGATTCCCAGGTCCTGACATCTCCTGGCTCAGGCTCAGTCCCCCAACCTCCTTCCCCAAACCTGGGGATGCTTCGCAGGTAGAGCAGGAGGCGGATGAATTCATGGCTGCTGCACTTGGGGTGAAGCCAGGCTGGGCTGTGGGCACACAGAAGCAGCACTGCTCGGCCTTCTATGTCCCTAGTCCCTGTGGGGAGGAGGCAGTAAACACCCACCCAATCGGGCCACCCCACCTCCACCACCTCTGGACCCTCCTGGCTACCTGGCAAGGCAGCCATGCCACTGGCCAGCAGCTCCCAGGTGAGGTCCTGGGCCAGGAGACAGTCAGTAGGCTCAGGGAGGCTGGATCTGCTGGGGTCTTCGGAAGGGAAATGGCTTGGGTCTGCACTGGACCACCTACCCAGAAACCCCTCCTTGGACCTGGGCTTTAGCCTGAATAGAGTCAGAGACCTACTGCCCTCACCCTGCCCCCAGGTCTCAACATCCATCTCCAGGCATCCTCATTCCCTTCCCAGACTTCCCTAGCCCAGCCTCTCTTACCTGCCTCCAACAGCTTTGATGATGTCTCTGATAAAGAGTCTCCAAGGTCCACAGGGTCACTGTCCAACGCCTGAGGGCCCAAGCTGGCTGGAATTGCCTTGCTTGGATCTGGGTCCCCTACCAAGCCTATCCCTGGGCTGTCATTCTCACCCTGTGCCAGGCTGAGGTGGGAGGACATGGGACATAGGAGACTCTCCACTCCAGAGGGGGCCAGCTCCTCTGACTGGACTGAGGAGCCTTCTAATGTAATTTTCTGGGCATCCCCTGACCCATATGAAGTCATCTGTTCTGGGGGTAATTGAAGCTCCCTGGACAAGGGACTCCCCTGCAGCCCTTCACCCTGGGCTGCCCCTGCTGGTGCTCTTGGAGGTTTGGAGTCCTTGACCTGCATCTGGGGAGAAGGTTCCTCCTCCTCCCAGGCATCCCTGAAACTGCACACAGCAAATCTCCAATCTGTGGCATGGCCCTGGGAGTCTGGGGACTCATCCCCATACTCCAGGGGCCCTTCCATCACCCCCTCCTAACGGCGGGCCTGCTCAGGGCAAGTGGGAGAAGGGCTGGGCCTCGGTATGAACAGAGGCCCCACTCTTCCAGGAACCGGGTTGAAGATGGTTGGGTAGGACTCGGTGGGCAATGCAGGAGCAAGACGCTAGGCCGCAGGAGAGGGGTGCCAGTCCTGGTGCGAGGGGACAGGAAGCGCTGCCCCCAACATAGTTCAGGCCTGAAGAAGGAGGAAGGTCAAGGGTCTCCCTTTTGCTGAGGCCCCCTGTCGCACCCCCGTGGGCTTTTGTCCGGTGGGCCCCCACCCTCGGACACGCCCTCACGTGGGGCTCTCGCCGCTGTGGCTCGGGGCTGCCTCGTGCTCAAGATCCCGGTCCCGGCCAAGCCTCAGCGCGGGGACTGGCACAGGCCCTCCCTCGCCCGCTGGTTGGACTCACGACCCTGGGAGGCGCCGCAGGGAATTGCGAAGCCCCAGAGGCCTCGCAGCCGGATCCCTCGAACGGACCTCGACGGCAGGGAACGCGCGGCCACCCGGTGTCCAGGGGCGCCGCCTCCTGGCCGTGGGGGAGGGAAGGACCGGCCGCCGAGGACGGAGCGCCGCGCCGCCCCCTGGAGGCCGGAGGACGCAGCAACAGCGCGCTCCCCAGGAGCCGACGGTAGACGGCCGGCTGAGAAGCCGAGACGCCGGCCCCGCAGCACACCCCGCCCGCCGCCCCAGGAGCCCAGACGGCTCGCCTCGCCCCCACCTCCAAGGCCCCGGGGACTCTGCGCCCAACCCTCGGCGTCCCAGGGCGCGGGTCCGGGCAGCGACCAACGGCCGGCGGTCCTACCGTACCCACTCCCGCCTGGCGAGCGGCGCCGGAAGCGGCGCCCTGGGGGCAGGCCGTGTAGGTGCGCGAGGGTGAGTGAGCGCGCAGGCCCGCCCGGGCCGGCGGGGGCTTCAGCTGCTGAATGCGCGCAGGGGAGGCCTCCTGTGCGGCGGAGGGGGGCGCTGCCTTGGCACAGGCACCAAGAGCCGGTTCGTAGGTCCTGAGAGGGCTGTTGTCTGGGCTGGAGGGTTGGGGCTGAGCCAGGCCTGACAGAATCCCCCAGACCCTCCACCCCTTGCACTCCCTGGCACCTCTGTACCCTGCTCCCCACAGAGTCCAGCCAGGGAGGCTGGTGCCCAGGTGGTCCTGGGGCCAGAGACTAGCCCAGGCCTGACTCCTCCACTTACCTACTGGGGGAGTTCCAGGGACTCTCTTCTCTTTGAACCTCTCCTTCCTCACCTGTAAAAAAGGAAAGTCATTCCTTTCTCCTGGGATTGCTGTGAGGACTAGGGAAGACCGTATGTCAAATGTCTGCTCACCGCCAGCACTAGGGATGTGTTGGTGACCTGCTCCTCATTTCACCCTCAGTCAGGGGATCCTGAACTGACGAAAGCCACTTGGGTAGCTCTGAGGTTTGGGGTCCCTTTGGGGCATGTGGTCCTGGACTGACACTCCCCAAAATTTATGAAAAGATTATGGGGAGGTTGGCTATGTGGTCAGGAGAAGGCACTGAGCCCCACATAATGCCCAGGCCCTTGGCCCTGGGGGCACGGGGCAGTGGGACAATAGCTTCCCTGGCTCTAAGTAAGGCAGGCGCCTCCTTCATGAACCTGGGCATCAGAGCAGTCACAGTGGGAACAACAGCAATCTCCCACCCATCCCAGCACCCAGAGTCTAGACTCCCCAGGCAGCTACAGAGGAGCCTTCTCCATAAGCAGGTCTGAGAGAGCAGCCTTGAAATTGTCCTGCTCCATCCCTAAATCCCGGTCGGACCTCTCTTCCTACCCTCCTAGCTTCAGTGAGCATCGTCCAACTTTGGCTACTTCCCCAGCTCTGTCCCAGGGCCACCCCCACTGAGTCACTGCCTCCAGCTCCCTCCCTCCCCTTCTGCTGCCCACCCCCACCCACGAGCCAGGAACCTTAAGAGCTGGGGGGACCTGCTGTCAGGCACACATACCACTCTGAGTGCCAGAGACAAGAGCCTCAAGCCACAGGCCACAGCTGACCCTGGCACGCCTGGGCACAGCAGGCAGATTCAGGGGAGGTGCAGCCACACTGAAATAAAGGCAAGGCTAGGCTCTTGTTTCCCACTCCACAGAGAATGTGTGCTGTAAACTTTGTGGAAACTGAGACTATGTATTGTCTACTTCTGTACTTACAGCACTCAACACGGGACTTGGCATAGAATAAATGCTTAGGGGTGCCTGAGACTGGTCACACTATGCCTGCCCTCCTGAGGCTCCCCATCTATGAGTCAAATGGAAACCAGAGTCACAAATGGAGGCAGATTCAGATGCTCAGCCTAAAAAGGAGACAGAGAGGAAGGAGAGAGCTACAGGATGCACAGCTGCAGGATGGCAAAGGTACAGATAGAAACGGGGACAGACTGAGGCCTGGCAGGAAATATTGGGGGGCTAGGCGTGGAGCCAGCCTGGGGTGGCTGACCACAGCGGGCTCTGTGGGCTGAGCTTGCAGGACTGAGCAGTGACTCATGGGGCCCATCTCTGTGGCTCTCCTGGCAGCAGAATTTACTCACAGCAGCCTTTTCCACTGAGATCATGAAATGGGAATGGGCCTCCCTTCCCCAACCCTCCCTCAGCCTCCTGTTCCTTGCCAACATGACTCAATCGAAAATGAAATGGGGGCTGTGGGCCTCAGTGGGCCTAGAGACCCATAGCCATTCCCTTCACTCTACCCCAAACCTTGCTCACCCCGCCTTAGTACTGCCCCGGACAGTGAGGCCAACAAGTACTCCAAAACTTCCAGACCTCTCTTGCCTTCGACCTAAATAAACTCCAGACTCTTTAGTATGACATTCAAGGCCACCCGGAGGCATCGCAGCCTTCCTGTCGTCCTCCCAGACTGTCTGGAAAATGAATCTGATCATAAGTGTTGTCTCCTACTGTCTCCTCTGCCTGAAGGCCCACACCCACCTGCCCTGATCGAAATCCTTTCTCCTTCAAGGCCTGGATGCTGCACCTCCTTCTTCACGAAGCCTTCCCCAGCCATCTCCCCTCTGCTCAGGCAATCCTGCCCCTCACCGGCCCCCACCCGTGCTCCCCTGCCCCTGCCTGCCCTGCTGAATCAGAACCTTTGGGGTAGGCCTGGGAGTATGCATGTTAGACAAGTTCCCAGTGATTCTGACACTAACATCTGAGAACCGACTGAGGCCTGCCCTCCGTAGCACCAGCCCCTTCACATCCCTGGATGGCTGAGGTTTCATACATCTTCCACCTGGCACCAGCCACCCCACACTCTGACTCCTCCCAGAAGCCTGCCCAGATCTCCTCAAGGCCCCACAGCACTTTTCACACAGCCCTGCCTTGCAGTATAAGACCTATAATGGCAAACACTTGTGATCCCTTACCGTGGGCCAGCCCCCTGTGTAGAGTCCTCCCCATTTTGTCATTTAGTTCCGCCAGCAACCTTGTGAAGTATGATTGTTATCTCGTTTTAGAGATGAGGACACTGAGGCCCAAAGACATTATGTAACATGCCCAGGGTGACATAGCTGGTGAGTGACAGCTAGGACTGCCTGACTTCAAACTGTCGACTGCTAGTTAACCAGTAGGCCTTATCACTGCCTACTGTAAACACTGTGAGGGCAAAGCCTAAGTCACTCTTCTCTTCTTATCTTCGCCACAGATAACACAGAAAAAGTTATTGTTAGTTGGCCAAGTGTGCCAGAAAGTAGGTTAGTGATTGCCTAGGGCCGAGGAGGGCAGGGGATGGGGAGTGAGTACAGGGCTTCTTAGGGGAATGATGAAAATGTTCTAAACTTAGATCGTGGTGAAGGTTGCACAACTCTTGTGACTATATTAAAAACACTGTACACTTTAGATGGGTGAATTTTTATGGTATATAAGTTACATCTCAAACTTTTTTTAAAGTCTTTCAGACACAGTGGGAATTGGGGTTTGGGGACTGCTGTTACCTAGGCATTTCTAGCCATGTTTCTGGACCCCACACTACGATTTGTATCATAAGCACTCAGGGTAACCAAGTCCCTTGAGACTATCTTTCCACCTGTCACATGCAGAAGGACATTTCTGTTTATTTGTCCTACACCTGCCTCCAGGTTTTCAAGAAATGTTTATCTGGTCCCAGGTGTGTGGTGGCTGCATCTTGGGGCAGCTTGGCACCTGACCTCTTGGGTCTCTTTCCCTGCTAGGCTCTCTCATTCTGTAGACTCCCAGTTCTGTGACCCATGCCTATACAGTAATCCCCTAGACTGCCACTGCAGGCCCCTGCTAAGGGGACAATATTGGAAAAGCATGGGAAAGGTAGTAGGGGAGGGGAGGCAGAGGAACTAACAGTCCTGCCTGGGATCCCCCCACCCAACCCCGTCCTCTGGCCCCCGGGGCAGGCAGCAGGAGTTTACATTTCTCACCAGATGCCCCTGTTGTCCCTTACCCTGGAAATGCCCAGACACATGGACACGGGACACCCATCCATCTGAGAGATGTTTAATGTATCTCAGGTTCAAGGTACAAAACACAAGGCAGGTGCTAACCCCTGGAAAGTCACCTGCCACCCAGTCAGCCCCCTCCTTGCCACTGCAGCCAGGCTTCCCAGCCCCCAGAGCAATGGAGTAGTTGGGGAAGGGCTACCTGGTTCCTTCCCTGCTTGGGGAATGTTGAGGTGGTGACATGGGAGCCCAGAGGCCACTGTGTCCCCTCCTCAGAAAACCCAGACCCCAGGATCAGAAAGGTCCAGATTTGGACCCAGAGCAGCAGATCCCTAGAGTGACCCTGGCTAAGAAGCAGTTCTGAACTGGAACCTGGCCCAGCCCCCTGGCGTTGGTCCTGGGAAAGGAGGAACTATTATCCCAGTATCTGGCAGCAAAGGGAAGGGGCTAAGCAAGAAGTGGAGGCAGAGATTCCCACTGCCCTAAAAAAAATGGACTGTGGGTAGCTGACCCAACATGGCAGCAGAGCCCAAGGTTGGGGCCAGCCCTGCCTCCCAACCCAGTCCCTCTGAGGACCAGCCCCTCACTGAGCCTCCTTGTCAGGACGCTGTCCCTGAGCCAGTGCTGGGGAGCGGGTAGAGGGTAGGGAAGGCCAGCGTCTACTAAGGAATGATGCCCTTACTTTGGGGCCAGGGACAGCTGCCTATAGTAACCCCAGAAAGGCCCACTGGGGAAGGGGTATCAGCTACCCAAATATCCAGGCCTAGCCCCTAGAAGTCCTGGACTGGGTCCTGACCCAGAGTAGGGTCCTTATTGATACGGAAAGTGGCAGGGGTTAGGAGCAGGGAGGGTGGTAAGAAGGGTCCCTGTGAGGACCAGCTCGGGAGACCCCTCTGACCAGTCCCAAGAAAGCCCAGTTGCTACTTCAGTCCAGGCCCCACTGGCCCCATGGCAAGCTGAACGGGCTCTTCTGCCCATTGCCCAGGGAGCTCTTCCCACAGGGGCTCCACCTCCTGCTCCTCCCCAAGGCCCTGGGCTACAGCCGTCCACCTCTGTTGAACTGGATGCACCAGTGGGAGTTAGCAGTGCCCGGGCTAAGATGGGTGCGGTTCTTGTGGCCCATGAGGGGCTGCAGCTCTTGCTGTTGGGGGATGTCAGCACTGCTCTCACTGTGGGAGCGGCCAGCCTTGGCCAGGCTTGGGGGAAAGGCGAAGCTAGGGCGTGGATCAGAAGGCAGGTGGAGAGGGGCCTGGGGCTCTTCGGCACCCAGAGGGTAGGGAGGCAGGCGGGTCAGAGTTGTGGCCTGGGTGCAGGGAGGGGATGCCAGGCTCTCCAGGGATGAGATGCTCTGGTTCCAGCCCGTCTGCATGTCCACGGGCACAATCTTCGTGGTTTCCGAGGACACATACACTGCCAGGTCCCCATGCCCGCTCTTCCAGGGTAACTCCTTCTCTGCACAGGTTGGGGATGGGGGGATGATGCGTGGGCTTGGGCACACCTCAAGGCTTCCTGGGGACAGAGAGTACACAGGAGCTCGTTACCAATACAGTGGAACCCTTCTCAAGCATAAGCACGTTCTCATAAATAAACTCATTCCACAGTTGCCATATTACATCCATTTGTGCAATTATTTGATGCATAGCTTGCTGAGGGGAAACACCATGGCTGGTTTGCTCTCCTTTGTATCCCTAGTTCCTGGCACAGGTCTGGGCACACAGTAATTGCTCAAGAAGTATCTACTGAACACATGAAAATAACTAAAGCAAGAGAAAGCAGGAGCCAGGCAGGAAGGAAGCCCCATCTTCGATCCCCCTCCCCTGACTGGCAGCACCAGTCTCAGAAACAGCATCCTGCCAAGCCCCATCCCAGCCAGCCAGCCAGGGACAGAAAAACCTGGAGGCTCCAGGCCAAAGGCTTTGCTGCTGGGCACCCTGCCTAGGCACCCACCACAGCCCTCTGGTGGGACAGAACCCAGGAGTGTGAGCTCATGCAAACCTAACAGCAGGCCAAAGCTATGCCGCAAAGGGGATGACGCAGCATGAGGGACAGGAGCTGAGAATCCCAGAACTGCTGCGGCGGAATCACTGGAAGTCTGAGGTTCTGAAAGAGGAAACATGGGAAAGAGAAGCCCTCTGGCCACCTACCACCCCAGCTTTCCAAAGTCAAGCACAATGATAAAGTCCTGAACAGTCCAATAAGCTTCTTGATTGAGTATATTATGAAATGTATTGATGCTATGATTAAAAGTAAAACTATATCTCTTGAAAGACCTGGAATATTAGAATTTAATAACAAAAAGCCTAAAACAACCAAAACCTTCCATGTTCACCTTTAGAGGATGCTTGGGAACTGGGGTCTGAAAACCGATAAATGAAAGAATCAGGCATTTATCCATTCTTTCCTGTATGAACTGTGTCTCAAAGGAACCAAATAATTGATGAAGGGAAGTTTTTTTATAGAAGAATTCCTGCTAATAAATGCAGGTGAAAAAATAGATATAGAATATCATCATTGTACAACCTCTAATGAAATTTTGAATCTGGCACTGATCATCAGTGGCTGTTGAGACTGTTTAAGGAAAAGCTGATGGGGCACTTGGTCATGGTTGGCTCAGGGAAACAACGTCTGAACCCAGTGAACAATGTTAACCTCATGAAAAGAGCAACAACCAGATGGTATGTGTTTCCTGATGTGATGCAATAGGAAGTACGCCATCACATATGAAATGTTCTTAGCGAAAAATTAAAACTGAAATATGATCTAGATTGAAATGCCGGTTTAAAGGAAATATAAGGCCGGGCGTGGTGGCTCACGCCTGTAATCCTAGCACTCTAGGAGGCCCAGGTGGGAGGATTGCTGGAGGTCAGGAGTTCGAGACCAGCCTGAGCAAGAATGAGACCCTGTCTCTACTAAAAATAAAAGAAATTAACTGGACAACTAAAAATATACAGAAAAAATTAGCCGGGCATGGTGGCGCATGCCTGTAGTCCCAGCTACTCAGGAAGCTGAGGCAGGAGGATTGCTTGAGCCCAGGAGTTTGAGGTTGCTATGAGCTAAGCTGACACTATGGCACTCTAGCCCCGGCAACAGAGCAAGACTGTCTCAAAAACAAACAACAACAACAACAAAAAAAAACATTGAAAAAACACACTTGAGGGTGCTTGAGCCAACCACCAGTGATATCTAACATTATGAGTGAATTAGGTCTCTACACATGTGGAAACACATATATACTGTTTGTGTTTTTTCTTTTTCTTTTTTTTAAATATAATTTATTTTATTTTATTTTTTGAGACAGAGTCTCAATCTGTTGCCCTGGGTAGATGTGCCCAGCCTGTTTTTCATTTTTTTGAAAGTGCAGCCTGCAACTCCTGGGCTCAAGCTAGGCCCCTGCCTCAGCCTCCTGAGTAGCTGGAACTATAGGCCCACATCACCACACCCAGCTAATCTGTTTTTTGTAGAGATGGGATCTCACTCTTGTTCAGGCTGGTCTCAAACTCTTGGCCTCAAGCAATCCTCCCACCTTGGCCTCCCATGCTGAGATTACAGGCATGAGGCTCCATGACCACCCAGCCCTATACTAGTTTTTTATCCACAATAAGTCCATTTTGGTGAATTCAAACTCCTCCCCCAAGTCAGGCTGCCACCCTCACCTGGCGCTCTACCTGAGGGCAGGTGTGCTAAGCATGGGTTCCTCCCCAGACTGTAAAGGGGGCAACGTGGCAGTGAAAGGCTATGGGCTTTGGAGTCAGATGGGTCAGGTTCAAATTCTGGTTCTGGTTCTTACTGTGTGACGCTAAACAAGTCAAAAGCCGCTTAGACTCTATGAGCTCCATTTCCCCTTCTTGGTTGTTTTTGGGTTGAATCAGATCACATATGTTAGGCGTCTGGTATAAAGGAGGTGCTTAGTAAATGCTGGTTGGTCAACAAACTAGTGGTGAGCAAACTAGTGAATAGGAATAGGGAGTTGTCTGGAGTAGAAGCCATGAGTGAAGAGGAAGGAAACCAGCTTGCTCCAGAGGGGAGGGAGACAGCTAGGAAGCTGTTACCTGAGACCTTGCCTTCTTGGAGAACCTCACTGGTTGCCCGAGCCACAAAGATGATCCCCTCGTCGTCCTCCTTCTCAGTCTCTGAACTGTCACTCTCTTCTTCCTTGTCAGACTCCACAGTCAGTATCACAGCAGCTGGACAGAGACAAGAGCGGAGTTGGGCAACCAGCCCAGCAACTGCCTCCTAGTGCTCACAGCCCCAAGGCAGCTCCCTGTCCCCTCAAGCAGAGCCCACATTGGCAGAGGCACCTGCTTTCTCCTCTGGCTGTTTCGAGCACTGGCCTAGGGGTAGGGACTTGGGAGGAAGGGATGTGACAATGCAGAGCCCAAGGAGGCAACCAGAGGAAGCTATGAGGGTCACACTTTCCAGCTTCCCCATCCTCTTCTGTCAGCCCCGGAACACATGATCAACTGAAAACATGAGCATCTGCAGAGCTAGAAGGCCCATGGACATCCAGCTCATACAAAACATTTTGCAGGCAAGATATTGGGCCCCAGGGTCCACCCATCTTTCAAGGCCCAGACCAAGCTCCCCCTTTTCCATGACACCTTTTCCAAGTCCTCAGGACCTGTAGCTCATAGTTAGAATCGGGCACCTCCTGTCACAATTTGTCTATGTGCTTTGAACATTTTCAGCTTGGAAGTCAAGTGTGCCCATCTAGTCCCTGATGGTGCTCATGCACAACCCCCGCCCCCAGCAGGTACTCTGGGATGCTAGGCTCTTCCCCACTTCCCTCAGTCCCACCCCTGCTCCCTGCTTGCCTGTGTCCTGAAAGCCCAGGTCTCGAGGAGGTTTCCCATTTGTAGCCTCAGCATTAGCCACACCATCCTTCTAAGGACCAAGAAAGAAAACCTGAGCCTCTGGCCCTGGCTCCACACTCCCACCCTCTCATCTGGTGGGATCAAGAGGAGGGCATGTTTTCCTAACCCAACAGGGGAGGGAATTTGTGTCACTTCCAATGGTTCTACCACCCCTGCTCCAACCAGGCAAGAATTGTGCAGTCTAAGTAATCCATGCATGGCCCAGTAAGGGCTCTGAGTGCATCAGCCTGGGCTGATTAGGGATGTCCTTTTGTCTTGCCTGTATCATCTCTGGTAGGAGGTCCTGCTACCTCCCAGCAGGAGACCACATGGCCAAGAGACTGCTCTCCCTCTGAAGACCTCACCTGACCCTGCTGGGGCTCTAGGAAGATCTAAAAGGGAACCCAAACTGCTACAGTTGCCAAGTCTCTGAGGACTATCCCCCTAGGCTGGATCCCAATACTTGGAGACTCAACACTGTGTGCTGTCAGCCTCCAGCCCCAAAGAGGAGTCCCAGAGAAAGGACATGCCTTCCTGCGGCCAGTCTTGCGAAGTCGTGGCTTGCTCTTGGTGAAGCAGATGTTGTGCTTGGTGGACTTAAAGGACTCCAGCCGCCTCTTCATGTTCTGCTGGAAGATCTCCTTGTCCTGCCGCTCCTGCGCGTCCTCTGAGATGAAGTGGCGGCTGCAGCTGGCTTTGTACTGGCAATGACAGCCCCGCCCCACCATGAGGCCGGGTGCCTTGGCCTCCCACAGGAACCCCAGGCCACAGCTCCAACATGTTCACCACAGGCCCTGCCAACCCAGCTTTTCCAGAATTAGCCACGGATTGAAAAACAAAAAATAAATAGGAACGCGGCCAGAGGTTCTGTGTTCTCAGTTCCCTGGGGAAAAGCTTCCCTTAATCCCAGAACTTCTTCTCCCAAACCTGGCCTTCTCCATCCCCTACTGCCCTTTCCCAATTCTCTCTGATATGAAGATGACCCTCTGTCTTGTCCCCCAGGGCTACTATGAGACCATGGGGGACATTTCCTTCTTTGCACCTCCATTTATCTGAGCCTGGCTCACACACCTGGCCCGCCTGCTCCCTGCTAGCTACACAGGATCCTCCACCTAGATTCTCCATCCAGCTATTTCCACAACCACCACCATGACATCCCGAGCTGTGCTTTGGACTTTTAGAACTATAGAACTATCTCCCCTGACACCCTGTACCCTCTCGGTCCCAACAATTCAGAACCACCCCCATCATCTGCTGTTTTTAACTCTTTCTCATAAAGACCAAGCCCACTACCCACTCATCTAGACTGCCTCCGTCTCTGCCCGGGGCTGCTTAGCAACCCTTCCCTCATCTAGCAGTAATCCCCAAAGTCCTGCTCAGTGTGTTTCTTCTCTTTTTTTTTCTTTTTTTTTTAAATCTCAAGCTATGTCAGATGCTCAGTGTGTTTCAGATCATCTGGTCTTGCCTCACCTCCCTTTACCTCACATGAGCTCCCTGCCAGTCTCCCATCTGCCCTTCTCCACCCACACACCAGGAGGTGCCCCTCTGCCCACCTCCTTCAAAGGGCCCACGACTCCCAGCCCCTCCTTCCTGCCTCCATCAGCTCCTGCTCCGTCCTATTTCTCTACTCTCCAGCATCTGTACTCTTCCCTCACCACCAGTCCCCTCCCCTCTGTTCAAGCAAGCCTCTGCCCTTGACTCCTTGAAGACAGTCTTCCCATTGACACCACCATCTCCCTTTTTGTAATTTGATTCTGACACTTTTTCTCACACCCAGTACTTCCTTAAATACCAGAAATGCAACTCTAGGGTCTGCAACTCCACAGCCCTCCTTCTCCCTGGTCACCAGTGCTGTGGCCTCTGTCTAGGTGGCAGCCTGGCCTCTGTGCAGCATCCAGCCCTCTTTCCACCCCCGGCCTCAGGCACCATCTGCTACTGCTTCTGCGAAGGACTTCTCCTCCTCTGTTGGCTCCCTCCCTTTCTCCCACGGGCATTCCTCACAGCCTTGGCCCCCCTATCTCCCTCTAAACGCTCTCCCAGAGGACTTATCCATTCTCTTGACTTCAGCTATCTCGACCATATAGGTCTATGGTCCCCAAACATCAGCCATCAGACCAGCTGCATTTGAGTCACCTGGGGATCTTAGTAAGAACACAGATTCTCAGCCCATTCCAAAGTACAGAATCAGAATCTCCAGGAGGCAAACACAGGAATATGGATTCTAGCAAGTTACCTGGGAGATTCTGAGGCAGCCAGGTGAGGAAACCTCTGATATAGATTGCTCCCAAATCTTCCTCTCTAGCCCCTACCTCTCTCTTAAACTATAATCTTATCTTTCTAACTGCGTAGTAGACACATCTGTCTCTCTCTAATGATATTTCTGTGAAGAACATGAGGAATTATAAATTGTGTCACGGTACAACTAAGTAGATTCAGAACTGGTTGAGTAATCATACCCCAAAAATGCTTGATCCAAGTCAGTCTGGAGGAAAGTCTTTAGTAGCATGCCACAGGGCTCTGTTCTCAGCTCTATCCTGTTCAACATTTTTATGTTGATTTGGATGAATACAAAGTTAACAGGCTTAGCAAATTTTCAGGTGATATGAATCTGGGGAGACATTTGGTGGCAAACATGGGATCCAAACAATGGAATGATAGGCTAAATCAAATAAGATGACATTTAACAGGATAAGCACAAACTTATTCCAGATTTTTAAAAAATTGACTATACATGAACTGATTGGACTGAACCCATTGACCAATCTTACACACACACACACACACACACACACACACGCATATACCCAATCATTATGTACTTCCTGATGTGGCACAATAAGAAATACATAGCATACCTATTGAACATCCCTGAATCTGATCAGGCCTCTAGATTTAATGACCAGGAAATACAAGGAATGGAGGAACATGTTAAGCAACACCACTGGAATACAATCAGCAAAATCTAGAAAATGGGAAATTTTCCAAGACAAAGTATCCAGTTTCTTCAACAAATAAATAGCAAGGGGGAAAAAAGGGAGGGGAAGGAACTATTATAGATTTTTATTAATGAAGAGACATATTTCCCAAATGCAAAGTGTCTTTATTTGAATTCTAATTTGAACATCCAGCTGGAAAAACGTATTTATTGAACACCGACTGGATGTAAGAGTTCTTGCCACCTAAAGATACATACTAATATTTAAAGATGATGTGGTATGATATCTGGAGTTTGCTTTAAAATAAAGTGTGGGCACGGTATGTATGTAATTATAAATGTAACAATCATGCACTGATAGTTATCAGAGCTAGGTGATAGATAAATTTGAGTTATTTTATTCTCTCTACTGGAATTTTACGTAATAAAAAAGTTTTTTAAAAACCACATAGGTTAGGATGAGATATGGTCTGGATAGCCATTAACTGAGGAAGACATAGGGATTTGGCAAATTGTAGGGATAGTATGGGGCCCCAGGGTGGTGAGACAAAGCTGGAGGGATCCTGGGCTGCAGGAAGAGAATGGAAAGTTCTAGAACTAGAAAGGTGAGAAAGTCCCTCTGCCCTGCCCTGGCCAACCACAGCTAGAGTAGCACCTTACATTCTGGGCCCTGTCTCTTATGGCCAGAGAAGACACACCAGAGGCAGGAGAAGATGCTGGCTTGAGGACAAGGGGGACCGTGTCGAAGGGAACTGTCTTGGAACTTTGGAAGATTTATTCTGCAGAGCTGCAAAAAGTCAAATCAGGACCAGTGGGTGCAAGTTAAAGGAAGCCGATTCTGTCTCCACAGTAGAAAGAGCCTTGACTGTTAAAACTGCCAGGAATGCTAATAGCTGGCTTCCCATTTCAGAAAGGTTCAAGGTAATAACTTGCTGCCCCCTTGTGGGATTAGAATAGATTCTCTCCTGGATGGGCTGGGCCTTTCCAGCCGTAAAGCTTCATGATCTGCATTGGACTAACTCCTGTTACTTAAACAGATGCCTGCCTTCCTCAGGCTAAGCTGGTCCTGCATGCGTCCTAGGAGCTCTTCTTTCTGTCTGGCACCCAGCCATTCTCCAGTGACTCTCAAGGCCTCCTGTAATCTGTGTCCTCCTCTCCCCTTCAGGGCCAGTCCACTAGGACTATGTGCTCCTCTCCCTGCGTACCACCAAGCTCTAATCTGCAGTGTGTCACTCCAGCTTCCCAACTGGCTCCTGGCCTCTCAATTCACCCCCTCCAATTTGATCTGTACCCTGCTACCAGAGAAGGCATCCTTAAACATTACTCATACCAGGCCAACCCTGTCTCAAAAAAAAAAAAAAAACACAAAGGTTTCTTATTACTGATGAGGGGAAACCCACACTTCTGCAGGGCATCCACAGCTCTCCATGAGCTGGCGCCAACTGCCTCTGGAGGCCCTAATCATGGCCTCCCCAGACCACCCTCACACCCTCAGAACTCGTGCCTGCCTGCTCTCACCCTGCGGCGTGGCTTGTAGAGGCCTCCACAGAGCAGATGATGCATCACAGCATCCTCACGGTCCCGGCCGCTGCGTACTGTGTCAATCACCTGCAGATCCAGACACGCTCCACTGCCACTCTCCCTCCTGCAGGAGGCAGGGGACAGTGTGCTGGGGAGGGAGCAGGAGGCACAGGCCAGGGGAAGGGCAGAAACAAAGGTGCTGACAAATCTTGCCCAATGATGGAGAGGGCCCAATGGAGAGGAGCTTGAGGAAGGGGAAGGGGCTCATGGACTCACAGCAGGTTGGTGACAGAAGTCTCTGCCACAGAATTGCGGCTGGGCATAGAGGGCAGTGTGAGACCTGCGGAAGACAAGACGTGGCCTCCCTGCGGGGGTCACGATCAGGGTCAGACAGCAATCAGATGGAAGGTAGCCCAGGCAGAGGATAATAAAGAGAATAACAATGATTAATGCTTATTTTGCTCTTTTGATGTGTCAGGTACTGTGCTAGGCACTTTGCATACCGAATCCACAAAACTCTGTCACATAGGTCCTCTTATTCCTGCTTTCTTACAGCTGAGAGAACTGAGGCTCAGAGTATAAGTGACTTACCCAAGGTCACAGCTTGGAATTTATAACAACTGCACCACTTCTGCTGACTCCAGAGTCTAGCTGTTTCCCACCTTTCTGTACTGCCCGCCAGACTCTGAACTTCAGCACCAGGCCCAGCTGGTTCCTGCAGCTGCCACTTCACAAGCCCATGCAGCCAGCTGGGAATTCCCAACGCCCTGCTCAGGGCCTACATGCTGGTCACTCCTCTCTGTCCTGCTCTGCTGGCCATCTGCCCACCCACCACTGGCCCATCTGGTAGCTGCCGGCCCACCTGGTCCACAAAGCTGATGGCATCGCGGATGTTGAGTCTGTAGTACACATCCCAGATCTCGTCCCGGATGCGGTAGGCTGACCGCCGCATCAGCAGCTGACTCAGGTACTTCTTGTCAAACTGCTCCCACCTACAGAGGATGCCAGGCCCAGCCCTGAGTACCATCCCCACGGCCCAGCTGGCTGGCCCTTCCTCAGATGGGGCAGGGACACTACCAGCCTTTTCTTGGTATGAGCCTCAGCCAGGGAGAATCTCAAGTCTAGTCCCTGCCTTTATGGAATTTACAGTGTTATGGGGAAGCCTGACATTAATTTGAGTTATTACAAATAACTGTAAACTTGCAACCATGACAAGAACTACAAAGGATAACTATAGAGTATGACAGGGACTTGTCCTCCTCATCAGGGAGGCCAGGGAACGCCTCCCTCAGAAATTGATGCCTACGGTGAGAGCTGAAGGATGACCAGAAGTTAAGTGAGAGGGAGGCAAGGGAGCGTTCTACGTGGAGAGAACGACATGTGCAAAGGTCCCAGCAGCCAGGCTGGGGGAGCATGGTGGGTCCTGAGGCTCTAAAACAGGGTCCGTGGAATTAGCAGGCAGACAGTCAAAGACAGAGCAGAGCACAATGAGGCTAGAGTCTGGCAGGTACTAGACCATGCAGGGCCAGACAGGCCACATTGGGGAGACTTGTCTTATCCTGAGAGCACTGGGATGCCACTAAGGGCTTTAGGCAGAGGTTACTCAGCCTGAACCTGGCTCTGTCCCTTCTCAGAAGTGTGGCGCACCCCCCATGCTGCCCTGGCTGGTGGGGCTGCTGCTGCTGAAGGAGCCTCGGGGCAGCTCCCTCACCTGTCCCTCCAGTAGTGGTAGCCATGGTGCCCCACAACGTCCTCCACTGCAGCCAGAATGTGGTCAAAAGTCTAGAAGGGGGGTGGGTAGGGGGACTAGATCAGGACTCTGCCCAAGATGGGAGAAGGGAGGGAGGGAGAGGTGGAAGGATGGGGTTCTGGTACCCACGTGCTCATGCAGCTCCTGGTTCAGGGTTGGTTTGTGATGCTCACTCCTCTTCACCTTCAGCCACTTGACCAGCGGCTTGATGGTCAAGCCCTACGGACAGGCAGGAGGTGAGCCCTGTCCTGTTCAGTTCCCTGCTGCCTTTCTCATCCCATACTTAGGCTTCAGCTTCTGCACTGCCACCCTACTACACTCAAGGTCTGGGAAGTCAGGTCCCTGCATCCCCCAGTGGGAAGAGAAGGCCTGTCCCATAGGCTCCAAGACTCCCCTAGGGCCTGCCAGACCCTCTCCCCACCAGCCTCATGGGCATTCCCACCTGCACAATGACTGTGAAGAAGACCACCACAATAGTGGTGGCCACGAAGTAGTCTTTGGCAGGGACCTTGGTCCTGTCCAGTAGGATGACGAGAGCAAAGGCCACAGCACCCCGTAGACCCCCATAGGACATCACCACCTGGTCAATCTTGTCCAGAGGGACCAGCCGGAACTGATTCAGCACCCACGTCTGCAGGACTACACCTACAGCAGGAGGGAGGCCAATGGGAGCAAGGCGTTGGGAGAGGAGGACACAGGAGTGGATGGTACCAAGTACCTGGGCTAAGGTCTAATGGGGGTGGGAGAGGTGAGCAACAGGAGAGGCTTAGGAATTGACAAGGATGTGGACTGAGATTGGAGAATGAGCTTCAGGGGCAAGGAAAGGGGGACAGGAGAGGATTGGGAAAGCAGTGGGTGCCAGCAATACCGAGGGCTCGGAAGAACAGGATGAAGACAAGGGTGCCCAGCACCAGCCCAGAGTCCCAGGCCCACTTAGAAGAGTCCACAGCTGAGATGCCAAGCAGCATGAAGATGACGGTCTCAGCACAGCTGGCTAGAGTCTTCATTGTGTATTTGACAGCCGTGCGTGACTTATGGGAGATGTTGGCCTCCACGTACTTCTTACAGCCCAGGCCACACATGGTCACCCTGGGAGAGGGATGGAGACAGGGCAAGTGAGGAGGGGTCCCAGGGAGCTCAGTCTCTGAGGTTTGAGCATGCTGCAGAAGGGAGCATTGCCCATGACAGATGTCAGACTCTCAGAGTGAAGCCTAGGGAAGCATGAAGTCTGCTATTAATAGTTAGTAGTGGTGCTGAGATAACAGCCCAGATCTCCAGGCTTCCCCTCATGCCTCCTGGAAGGGAAGGTGGGAGAAACATGCTCTGACCAGCAGATTCTCTGAGGCATCTTTTGGAGGGCTATGGCCACCAGACCTGGAAGTCTACTTCCAGCCCAGACCACACCCCAGAGGGCACTTCAGGCAGAAGAAAATTGGGTTCTAGGGTACCCAGGACAGTTCTGGAGGCAGCTCCTGAAATATTACCTGAAGTGTACTGTCTCCGCAGAGGAATCTGAGGCTCCTACTACCACAAGGTCTCAGGGAAACCTATGGATTCCCCAGGGTACTGCTTCTGCTCCCTATGAAGGGCAACCATCTCCAGGGCCCCCTCCCAGCTGCCTGCCTGCAAGGCCCCCAGACTCACGCAAGAATGGCGGAGAGCGAGGCCATTTCAGCAGTGAGGTAGGCTGCATAGGCGAGGAGGAAGACCAGCAGCGGCTCGATGATGCGGACCCGCTTGGTGAAGCGTGTGGTCAGGGCCAGGAGGAAGGCAAAGACTAAGCCCACAGCTGCCCCGCCCAGACTGACCACAAACAGGGAGGCTGGGGGAGGAGTGGGTTATCAGCATGACCCCTGACCCAGACCCTCCTGGGGCTGACAAGACTGCTGCCTGGCAGGGAGTGGAGGATGATGCCCACTGCACTCCCAGAGGCTTAGGACCCCAGAGCCAGGATCCCAGGGCAAGCCCCTCCCAGACCCCGCTTCTCTCCATAGAGGAGGGGAGGAAAAGAAGATGTGGGATGGAAGGGGCTCAGCAACCCAGTAGAGGCAGACCTCCAATGCCAGCTGAGAGGGGAGAAATACTGACCGACTCCCTTCAAGTAGTCAGTGGCCTGCACGTTGGCAGAGCCCATCTCCACAAAGGAGTTGCAGACCTTGTACAGCACCTAGTGAGGAGAGGAGAGTCAGGAGCAAGGTGGGGAAGGCAGCAACTGGGACTGCTGAGAGACAGTGATAGCTGAGACCACATTTCTTCACCAGGGGACCCATGGGAAGAGTCTGAGTCAGTTCCAACACCCAAATGACCAAGGTGTGCAGACTGGGGACAGGGAATGGCAACCAGCTGAGCGCTCTCACCACAGTGACTGCATCATTGAGCAGGGACTCGCCAAAGACGATGATAAAGAGAGTCTCATTGACGTGCACCTCCTCAAAGACAGCCAGCACAGCCACGGGGTCCACAGCTGAGATGAGGCTCCCAAACAGCAGGAAGTCCAGGAAGCCAGCCTGCACCCTAGGGGCTATTTAAGGAGAGTTGGAGGACAGGCCAGTAGTTGGTAAAGATGGATGACACCATCTCCTGCAGCACTCCCTGGGACCAGCCCCGGCTCCACCTCCGCGCCCCCCCATAAAACAAGGATACCCAAGGAGGACTTGGGATGGTGAAGAGAGCACTGGCTATGAGCCAGGCTGCCTATGCCTAAGGCCTGACCTGGCCACTTACCACTTGTGTGATGTTGGCTCTGTCATTGTCACATGACTTCTCTTAGCCATGCCTTCTCATCTGCCTACCTCGCAAGATTGCTGCAAAAATCAACCCAGCCATTTAGAAAAGAAAAAACAACCCAGGAGATGGCTACCAAAGCTCTATGTGACCTGAATGGCTAAGGTGGTACAGGTATTAATAATAAAAACTGTAGCAACAGTAATCACAACTACCAGGAGGAAAACTGGCTGCTAACTGGCTTTTATTAGGGAAAATAACAAAGAAATGTACTTTCTCCCACACCTTTGGTTCCCAGCCAAAGGTATGTGGCACAATTCTCTGAATAGAGTACGAAAAGCACCACAGGTGGGACTTGAACATGTCATATAATACATATAATGACATGCTCGATACATACATATAATGGCACGATTGGCCGGGCGCGGTGGCTCATGCCTGTAATCCTAGCACTCTGGGAGGCTGAGGCGGGTAGATCGCTCAAGGTCAGGAGTTCGAGACCAGCCTGAGCAAGAGCGAGACCCCCGTCTCTACTACAAATAGAAAGAAATTATCTGGACAACTAAAAATATATATATAGAAAAAATTAGCCGGGCATGGTGGCGCATGCCTGTAGTCCCAGCTACTCGGGAGGCTGAGGCAGGAGGATTGCTTGAGCCCAGGAGTTTGAGGTTGCTGTGAGCTAGACTGACACCACGGCACTCTAGCCAGGGCAACAGAGCCAGACTCTGTCTCAAAAAAAAAAAAAATGGCATGTTCAAGTCTGTGAGCCTCAGTTTCCCCATGTATACATTGAAAATAATAATATTTACTTTAAAAATTTCTTTATTTAGCCAGTGCCTGATACATAGTAAGCACCCAAAAGATACTACCTATTGTTAGGATTACTACTATTATTATGATCTGATGTCCTGATGTCCTCCCTTCCCTTTCTGCCCCAAATAGTTCACTATCTCAACAGGAAAACCAGGTTGGAGTCCCCCGGTGGGAATTGCAAACCTCTCCTTGTACCTTGGAAAAAGTCTGAATTACCAACATTCGGGGTTGAATGGATTTCTGGGGTCAGGAAATTAAGAAGGTAGCAAGAGAGGGCAGCCTAATGGCAAAGAGCCTCAGAAAAATGGACCTCTCCTGCTAACCTTGGACCTGATATCAAATGAATGTAAGGAGCTCTATTTCCTCATCCATTTAATGGGACAAATTATACCCCCAACATGGTTGCTATGAAGAGTCAGTGGGATAAATAAGGAGAGAACACCCAGTGTAGTGTCAGTATTTTGTGGACGTGTAATGTGTATTTATTAAAAATAATAATACAAGCAGGAAACCACCCTGACATGGCCCAGGCAGAGCCAGGATGGTAGGCCCTTGCAGGAATAGGGAGCTGTGCCTCAGGGGAGCAGGGCTGGCAAGTGGCAGTGCGGTAACAGGGCAGGATGCAACAGAGTGGTAACGCAGGCTCCCCAGCCTTGGCAGCCCACACACAGCTGGGAGCCAGGCTCCTGCTCAGCTGTCATGTTGCAGACGCCCAGACTCGACTGGCAGACACACCTAAATGAGGGCTGAAGCCCATCCGGTGTGTTGCCTTGCACTCCAGGTGGGAGAGACCTAAGATGGAGCTCACAGCGCATGGCTCTCGCCAGCATGAGACCTCCAGAGTTGGAGGAGAGGGGAGTGGGGCGATGGGTCTGGGAAAGCCTCCCTCTGCCAACCCAGGTCTTAGGATCACTCACCCACAAGTCCAGCCTGCTGCAGGCTCCAGAGGGCAGCACCTGTGGTGAAGGCATTCCATAGTGTGCCCACCACAGCATAGGTGAGGATGGCACCCAAGTTGTCAAAGAACAGCCGGCTAGGCATAAAATAGCCTGAGTCCAGCACGATAGGAGGCAGCAGGAAGAGGAAGAAGGTGCCTGGCTCCAGCTGGTACTCAGCTTTCTTGGCCACAGCCAACACAATGCCCCCCAGCACCAGGCCCAGCAAAATCAGCAGGCAGCTCTCAGGGACCAGAGACGTTACTTTCCGAGACAGATGAAACACTACAAGGCAAAAAGAGGACAGGAGGTATCAGCTTATGAAATGCCCTCCCACACACTGGCCTATAACCCCCAGTCTTAAAAGGTTACCTAAGGTCATGGGACCAAGGGAGGAGACTTCTAGAATCTCTAATCTTCAGGGCTGCAAACCCTGCCCTGCAGCCAAAGCTGTTATTTTCTTGGTGTTCCTGTCATGCCAGGGCAATCTAGGCCTTTGCTTGCTTTTTCCCTTTCTAGAAATGCCCCCTCCTTGCTACTCTCATCCTCAGGGGACCTCACCTTTCTCCACAGCCATTATTTAAACCTCAGCAAATGCTACCCAGTATCTTTTTATGCATAATATAGCTGTAAAAATCAGGGCATCTGGATTCAGGTTGCTTAGCTTCAAAGCCTAAGGCCTCCATTTACTAGTCCTGTGACCTTGGAGCAAATAACTTCACCTCCCTGACCCTCAGTTTTCTTATCAGCAAAATGGGAGTAAAAACAATAATGATCTCATAGGATTGTTGTAAGTATTTAAAAAGGCAATCTACTCAAAGGCACTTAGCACACTGCTTTATAGTAAGCACCCAAGAAATGTTATTTATTATTATATTAATATTATGATGTCCTGCCTCCCTAACTAGAGCATAATGTACATTATAGCTCCTAGGAGGCTAGGAGACCTCCTAGCCCAATGTGCTTTTCATTATATGGACTCACTCAGGACTCTTGGGGACTGGGCATGGTGGTTCACATCTATGG